TAATCGTACCGTCTAACCGCTTCTCTCTTGTCGTCTCCCCACCTTCTTAAAGCTCCGTTTCAAAGGGTAACTCGACTTGGTTAACGCGAGCTTTCTTGAAGGAAAGAGCAAGAAAGAAGAAAAACTTCTCGCGTCCTCTTACATCGACGTTGCTTACGTCGACGTTAAAGGTACGTGGTCGCGTTCACGCAACCCTTACAAAGGTCTACGAGTTACGAACATCGCATCCTCCCCTCGTCTTATTTACCGACGGACCTGCCAACTCCTTTATTTCGAGACGACTCGCCTTTATTACCTATGTCGTGCGTTTTGTCCCAAGTCCCCGTCGCGTGTTTCGTCGCGTGTTCCATCGCGTGATAAACCGGATACCTTGAAAATAAGTTCCTTTCCTTTCGCTATTCTTCCTACACATACCTACCCTCCCTCGTCCATTAGATCCGAGATACTTCTATTCCAAGGATGATTCGATTATATTCCTACCTATAGATATTACTTTTATAGAGTATTAATTATGTAATCGAAACAAAATGTTGATTGTCAAAGGAAAAAGCTTCTTCGATAAATGACACCCGTTAAATGACGTAGCCAAAACCGTAGAAGGGTTGTGGGAGGGTTGCGGGAGGATTGTAGAAGGGCTGTAGAAGGTCTGTAGAAGGAGAATCGTGTAGGAGTCTCTCTATCGGACAAGGCACGTAAGGAACTTGGGTATAGTCGTTCGCGAGTGTGAGTAGGTGAGCTCGTCCGTGCGCGCGCTCAACTCGACACGCATACTATCTCCTCGACAAAATCTCACGACGAATACACACATGTGCGAGAAGCACAATAATTACTATGGATAGTAAGGAACGGTTCCCCGCGGGGAAGGATGGCCGGCAATCGATACGCATACACGCGCGTTCTCGTCGTAGACGTGAAACGCGAGCACGCACACCGTTGCAAGGTTTACATAAGTGGAGTTCCTTGGCCACCACCACCCTTGGTCGGCACCTCTTATATAGTTTC